CAAACCGAACCGAACCAATCGAATGCCCACCCCTAGGCCCAGGCCTAGCCTCGGTCAAGCCTCAAGGGCCAGCGGGCTGACTTGGGCCGGGCTTATAAGCCGCAATTTTAAACGGGCTAAAAAAATCTCAACCCAGCCCCACCTAAGTAGTGGGCTGGGTTGGGCTGGCCTCACGGGCCAAGCCCATTTTGATGGCTCTATATTTGCCGATGATATAGTGTTGATTGACGAGATGCGTAGCGGAGTTAACGCGAGGTTGGAGGTTTGGAGATAGATCTTGGAGTCTAAAGGTTTCAAACTTAGTAGAACCAAGACAAAATACTTGGAGTGAAAATTCAGTGACGGGACTCATGATGCAGACGTAGAGGTTAAGCTTGATGATCAAGTTATCTCCAATAAAGCAAGTTTTAAGTATCTCGGGTCTATTATCCAGGCTAATGGGGAGATTGACGAAGATGTCGCACATCACATCAGAGCGGGATGGATGAAGTGGAGGCTCGCTTCCTGTGTTTTGTGTGATAGGAATGTGCCTCTAAGACTTAAGCATAAGTTTTATCGAGTGGTGGTTCGACCGGCTATGCTATATGGGTCTGAGTGTTGGCCAGTCAAAAACTCCCACGTGCAGAAGATGAGAGTAGCAGAGATGAGGATGTTGAGATTGATGTGTGGGTGTACCATGAGAGATATGATTAAGAATGAAGCTATCCGGGACAGAGTAGGAGTAACCTCCATGGAGGACAAGATGCGGGAGTCGAGACTGAGATGGTTCGGACATGTTAAGAGAAGGAGCATTGATGCTCTTGTCAGGAGGTGTTATAGGTTGGCCATGGAAAGTTTGTGAAGAGGTCGAGGTAGGCCTAAAAAGTACTGGAGAGAGGTGATTAGGCAGAACATGGCTCTGCTCCAGCTCACTAAGGACATGACCTTTGATAGGGGGTGTGGAGGTCGAGAATTAAGGTAGAAGGTTAGTATTTAGTAGGTAGTTTATAGTTGTTCACCGATAGTCCTAGTAGCATACATGTCCCTTCATATTCTTAGATTTTTACTACGTCATATGATTTTGTTTACCTCAGGTATTGTATTCCATATTGCTATTATTTGGTACTACTTATCCTTTATATCTCCCTTTTCTTTTCTCTTCCATCTTTCTTTCTTCCTTGCTTTCCTCTTCTTCTTCTTGCCTTTCCTGAGCCGAGGGTCTATTGGAAATAGCCTCTCTACCTGCATTAGGTAGGGGTAAGGTCTGCGTACAGATTACCCTCCCTAGACTATACCTGTTGGGATCAAACTGGGTTTTTGTTGTTGTTGTTGTTGTTGTTGTCTTTAATTATTGGAGTATCACCCTATTAGAAGAGTTTCCGTTGGAGAGGCTTTGTTTCCTTGTAAATTTCTTGGTCACCTTTTCCTGCTACAAATTCATGCTTCTTTGATCAAATATTCCTTGTGACCCTTTCCTTGCTGTACGGATTTGTCAATTGACTTTTCAAATCCTTTACTTAATTGCTTAAAATGAGGGGAGAGGTGAGGCAGGAAGATTATTTCTGATAGGCCCTCGGTTAAAGACAAGATAAAAGAATCAGTAGCAACACGTGGTAACAAAAAAAAAATTAAGAAAGATGAAAGCGAAAGAATGCAATCAAAGAATAGACAGCACCATCAATCCAAGACTAAAAAGATACCATGCTAACGCTATTGCTACCGATGTTAGAAAGAACAAAAATGCACTGCCTACTAATCGTCCATCCTAATTCTTGATCTCCACATCCTCCTATCAAGGGTCAGGTCCTCGGTAAGCTCTAGATGTGACATCTCCTACCTAATTACATTTCCCCATTACTTCTTTGGTCTACCTCTACCCCTCCTCATACCCACCAAGGCCAACCTCTCACATCTCCTAACTAGGGCAATTGTGCTTCTCCATTTCACATGCCCGAACCATTTCAGCTTCACCTCTTCCATCTTATCCTCCACAGAGACCACTCACATCTATTCCCGAATAACTTCATTCCTAATCTTATCCAACTTAGTTTGCCTTCACATCTATCTCAACATACTCATTTCAGCTACTTTAATCTTTTGAACATGAGAGTACTCTTGACCGGCCAACACTAAGCCTCATACAACAATGTCGGTCGAACCACCACTTTATAGAACTTATATTTAAGTTTTAGTGGCACATTCTTACCACACAAGATACTAGAAGTGAGCCTCAGTTTCATCTTTTGCTCAAGACCTAAAATATATACGCGCGCGCACGCATGTGAGTGCTTGTGTGTATTGGGGACAGAGCTAGATGGCTGATTANGGGTGTTCATCCGAACCCCTTTGTCGAAAAATTACACTGTATATAAAGCAAAATCTGTTTTTTACCTCTATATATTATGTTTTGAATCCCTTTAATATAGTCATAAAGCATAGCTTAGTGGTTAAGGGGGTTCAAAAGCTTTGAAAGTCATAGGCTCTCTATTCCCACTAGCTACGACTTTTCTAACTTTTTTCTTTTTTTTGAACCTCTTGGCTATAATTCTGCCTCCGCCACTGGTGGGTTCACGCAACCTCTCCCTAGTCCATATATAGCTACTACTTTCTTTTGTGTTTTCCTTTTCTATCTTGGTTACCCTTTAACTTTTTTTTTTTTTTTTTTTTTTTT